GTGTAGTCCCCCTAGTGTCTCATACTAAGCCCTAAATCCAACGGCCCCAAGAGCAGCCCGATCCCATATTTTGGAACCACAGGCTCAGAGAGTTTTTTGTAGGCAGATCATTCGAGAAACTTCTTACAGGGGCTTGAATATTTGTTAGTCGTGTCCCTAAGCCGCAACACGCAGTTCTACGTATGACGGCTCTTACTCTAGGTCTCGTGCCCCGTGGCTTGCCGGTACACTTCCGAATAGTCCAGACCTTTGTCCATGGAAGCGGTCAAGCTCGTCCCTCTGCAGAATTCTGGGTTCTGGTTAAAGAGTTGCTTTAAACAGTAACTGCAAAAGATCCCTGAATTTGGTAAACTGAAGTCAGCTCCGTAGCACGAACCCAGTTCTTCATCGAGCTGCCAGCGCTCTAATTCGGAGTTACTGTAGTTATTTCTGCATGACAGCTTTCAAGTTTTGTTGTCTCGGAAGGATCGCCTCAGTGTAACCTGTACATCTCCTCCCGATATGCAGTGGCTGCTCCTAGCTTCGACATGATCTGCGAAAAAGTGAGTCTCAAATTGGCTTGTGGGTACCGTAGGTTGAGCTTTGGTGGTTTGGAGGCCTGTCCCGAGTTACGGCTGAAAGCGGTGAGACTGAATTTGGGATTTTCGCTGACCTGCAGCTCTCTACTTGATGCCTGGCTTCTCGTGATCTTGTCTGCCTTGTGGGAGCGTGAGAGTCGAGACGGCAGGAACCAGAGCATGTCAGGTGGCTATGACCCGTTCACATTCGAGTTGGCTGTTCATGGTGGAAAGGACCGTGGCTGAGGGTTCATGAGTTTTCGGGACTAGAGTATGCGAATGGAGCAGCTCATCCAGAACGGTCTGCAACACGACCTGCGGATGCCTCCCGACGACCAACCTTCGAACTTCTAAGCTTCAGCACATGGCCCTCTCAGACTCTAGATGTTCGGTAGTTCGGTGCACGCTGGTGTGCATTCTGCAGCACGGCCTGCATGCTTGCCGCAGCACTGCAAGCCAGCGGCGGCTGGGTTCGATGGAAGCCGATGTTCTATTCCAGGCTTGTCCCGTCAGCACATCTGAGCATGTGATCTTACATCCGAGGGGTGGGCTGACATTAGCAGCAAGAATGGCTGCAAGAGCCGAGCAGCAAGAAGAGGACTGACGGAAGGAGGCCAGTGTAGACCTCAAACAGCGACAAGACCTATATTCAAAGACCATTCCACGAGCGCTCTCTGCATGGCTCCCCAGACACTATCCTCACGACATGTCGCGGAGGACGATGTGCACCCCAAATTTGTGGGGAGCGCCGCATTCTGCGATCGCTGTACCAGCCCGAGACTCCCCCCGCTTGGAAGCACAACAATAATTTGTTTTTACTATAGAGTCTGCATCCGCATGGACGGGGCGCGAGCGGGACTGCGCAAACCACTGTGGTCACGTCGTGGGTACGCCGACCTAGTCCTTTGCACTGACGGCTATCATAATAATTATTGTTATTACTGTAATTTTTCTATTCTGTTGTTATTACAATTCTTATTAGAACCGAAGGCGAGAATTTCAATGAGGCTTTTGACGGAAAGGACCACTCTCCGGGGCAAGTATTGTTGCATCGTATCACAGCAGCTGCCTCAACAGTTGTATATTGGAGCTTGAGTACGTCAGCAGGGTATCGATTAAATGTTCCTTATAATCAGGATCCGTTCATGTTTTTGGTTTGTTCTGGGGTATCCTTGTTTTCTGAATATCGCACTTGGTACGTAACAGCAGACGGCAGCCTTGCACACGTAATCTAATTTGTGGTCATCTTCGTAGCAATTGGAGAATGAGGGGCAGGAAATACAGTGGCAATTGCCGCCGAAATATCATCAGAACACTACCGGCGACAGTCAGTCCTATTCCCTTAAACCTGAACCCCAAATTCAGGTCGCTTGTGGGCATTGATCCCGGCCATGCGAGAGGGAAGAAATTCCTGAATCCTACACCCGGAACCTTAAACTTGTGGAGGACACCGTGCAACTTACGATTCGGGTGTGGGATCCCACAGACAGCGGCTGCGAGTATGCTGTCGACGATGACCAGCCACCTCGATGCGACCGGTGTTGTCAGACAGGACATCTGGTCGTTGGCCGTCCGGTGTCTGGTTTGGAGAAATAGGTGTTGGGGCCAAGATGTTCGGGTTTAGGATTTGAGGGTTTTCGGGCCAATGGTTGCAGATGTGGGACTTTAGGCGCTACGTGGCCCTGGGATTCAGGTTTAGGGCTTTAGGTTGTTGGGGCTGAGGGCTTCGGTTTGGGACTTGCTGCAGTGCTAGGAGTGTCCATTTACGAGCTGCAGAAAGAAATGCAGAGAGTTTGGGGTTGAAGACTTTCGGATTTAGGTGAGAAGGTGTTCGGACCGTGTTTTTTGCAGGTTGAGACCCTAGAAAGGCTGTGTCACAGAGGGAGGGAGGGAGAGAGAGTGAGACAGACAGATGCGAAGACATACCAGCTCCCTTGACCCTGTGGAAGAAGATAGATAGATAGATAGATAGATAGACAGATAGATAGAACAGATAGAATAGATAGGTAGATAGATAGACAGATAGACAGACAGATAGTTAGATAGATAGATCGATCGACAGATAGATAGAGACATAGACAGACAGACAGGCAGATCGACAGAGTGACAGACAGATCGACAGACAGATAGACAGATGAATGGATAGATCGACAGACAGATACGCAATAGACAAAGAAGCAGACGGACAGACAGACCGACCCACCGACCGAGCGACCGAGCAAGCGGTTTACCCATCTATTTGTCATCGACCGATCCATATAAATTGTTAATACCATGTAAGGTAATGAAATATTACGTAATGTACTGCAACGCAACGCAAATGCAATGCAAGGTGTGGTCGGGTAGGGTATGGTGTGGAACGGGGTGGTACGGTATGTTATATGTGTTAAGGCTTGGTGGGGATAGGGATGATATCTCCGGGCTTAGGGCTCAGGACCCCACCGACAGAATTGGTTGGGGTATGGGAGTTTCTGAGGATAGGGCGAAATCGTAAACATACTGGGGAACGAAGAACCCCAAGATTTTATTTCAGACACCCCTATAACACTTCGCGACAATATCTCCGATTCTGTATATATTGTGTCTATATATGTATATATACATACACACACACACATATATATATATATACATACATACATCTGAAGAATGCGCACGAAAAAGCACGAAGCCACCAAACCCCCGGAGCCAAATCCCTTCCTGCCGATACCTCCTAGAAAAACCGTTCACGCCATGAGTTCCAAAATATGGTTTGGGGGGGTTCGGGGTTTTGGGGGTTTAGGGGTTTAGCGTTCAGGGGTTTAGGGGTTTAGGTTTTTGTGTGAGAACTGAACTTCTGTGGGCTCGGACACTCAGGCGATTGCACAAGTCCTGATGCAAAAAAAGGTTTTTGTGTTGATAGTGGTTCCAGATGCCTGGCTCAATGTTGCGAGGCATGGGAAGTAAGGGCAGCAGTCGAGTCCCTTGTGAAAAAGGGTTTAGGGTAGAGGCCGTGCTCAAAAAAAAAGGGTTTAGGGTAGGGTTTGAGAGGATCGAGGGTACAGGGATGTCGGGCTTATCATACCCCTCAGAGTACAGTAGTAGTTATACGCATAGCCAAAGCAAGACTACGTATAACAATATTCACAAACAGCAAAAATAACAATGCCTATCAATATCGTACCCGGATTTAGGGTTTTGGGTGTTCGGATTTTTGGAATTGTAAGGTTTTTCAGGTCGAGGCGGCTTTGGGGCTGAGTTCTGCCACATTGCGGAAGGCTGGCAGCCACGTGGAAAACAGTCACTTCAGCCGGGCTTCATCATGTACTCTGCTGCCTCAGGCTTGGTGGGGGTTAAGGAGTTTAGGATCTAGCAGTGTTCTGGCGCACCTAGTTTGCGAGTTGCATCCGTACCTTTAGGGCTTGGTCGGCTCGACTTTATGACATTGGTGCTGAGTAGGGTTTTAATTACAACGTCTGTTTCGGTTCACCCGGATGTTGTGGTTCGATGGATGGTTGTCTTAAAATCAAGAAGCACCATGAACTTTGGGTCCTGGCAAAGAGCGCCTTCCTTGGAAAAGGGGACGAATCCTTTCATGCAAACCGTAGGACCTGAAGAGGCGGAGGCGCCGCAGTCACTTTTGCCACTTTTGATGTTCAGGAGTCTGCTTATAAAGCTGACTTCTGGGACAAAAGGTACCGTTTTCAACGTATGGCTGACGGAGGACCTTAGATTGCAAGAACGCGAAATCGTGAACTCCTTTGCCGGTCAAGAGCTCGGGGCTTCGCTAATCCGCTAATCTCTGCGTCGGTCTTCTCAGGAGTTTGGGGTTTAGGGGTAGTCCCCAACATGGTAACTTGAGTTCAGCTCCTCGTTTGTCTCAGTCGGCCATGGTTCCACGCACCGCCTGAGAGACGAGTGTGAGAGTTTTGTAGGGGAGCCCAAACCATAACTCATGTTCCCTGAGCCTAAACCCTGAACTCTCGCATGGAGGGAGTAAAAAGGTCTTGCGCAAAAGAAGCGCTAAGCGCTTCAAGCCCTCAGGCTACGACTCCGAAAGTTCTAGTCTGCTAGTCTTGCCTGCTACACCTCCACAAGGATCTCCTTGCTGAACAGCTCCCCTGTACCCAGGACGGTTCGCTGGGTTTCTTTAGCTGCTTTAGCTGTTGCAGGGTTTTGGGTAGGGATGTCCCAAAACGAACACGGACCAAAGCTTGCGGAAGTAGTCTCGGAGTATACACCAACACCCTATTATGAACAGCATTCGCGATCTGCCCAGGCCCATGGCAAAGCATCTGGCTGGAGGAACAACGGGAACAGATTTGACACAAGGGCCTTCACGATTAGAGTGTCGTTGTTTGCGGTAGTATAGGATAGTATAGGGCCTTACATTGGTTTATGAATCTTCTCAGAAAGTTTGATGAAGGGGTTGTAGTAGTTAGACTAGAGTTTTGTATAGTATACTAAAAGTATAGGCATCTCCAAAAGCCAACTTTAGTGCTATGCTGAAATGTTAACAATGAAATCATGAGAGTCATTGGCATTTGGGAAGTGCGTGTTTTCCATTTGCTGAGATATTTGGGTATAAAGTTCAACGTAAACCCTATAAGCCTAGGTTCATGGTTAAAGCCACTGCTTCCAGGCGTTCTTGCACGTGCAGCCAAAAAGTTACTGGCTTTCAAGGGCAGTCGCGTAGCCAGCGTGCCATCACGCACGTGACCCGAAATGCTGAACAGTAAATTATCCGAAACTAACGAAACCTGCTTGCTTTTGTGAGAGGTATAATACATGTTGTACGAAGGCTGGCAGTTTGTAACAGAACAGTTCGCAAGTATCACCCTAACCCCTCAGAGGCCCGCTCATCACCACTCTTGTTAAGCCCTCAAACCTGTTCCGATAGAACATCCTCACATTCCTGCGGCTTGCTCAGATCTCCCGCAGTGAGCCAGCTCTGGCAATGGTGAACCTCAGGGTTAATTTCTCGTAGCAGCAAAGCTGAATAAATAAATCAAAGTCCAGAGCCTAGGCACGATTAGAGTTCGGGCTGATTGACGTGGCAGAAGCAATGTGCATGTGGAAAACTACATCTTCGTCGCCACGTGCTACTGCTGTTTCTTCTGAGGTTACAGCCATCCTCAATGCGGCAAATCCTGAAACACGAAAGCGTGAGCCCAGGCCGTGTAAATGAGGCCACAGGTCACAGGACCTTGAGACTCTAGCCGCTCTCGCCCCAAAGGTGACAGGACTTCAGCCCAAGTTCATGAGGCCCGAAACCTCATAATTCCTCAACCCTCTCTGGATTGTCCGAGTGAGCGCCGAAAACAAAAACCAGTAAACCCAAAGCCCAAATCTCAAGTCCAAAGCCCGAAAACACAAGGCCAAGTTCACTAGACCCTTCGTCATAGTCCTCAAGCTCCAACTCCTCAGCCTAGACCCTAAAGTCAAACGCTAGAATCCCAGAAATATGGGGGTTTCCCAAAATAGGGACCCTAATATAGTACCCTAAATAATAGGATCCCTATTATAAGGACCCCAAAATAAGGTACCCCTAATTTTCTGAAACTCCCATATTGAGCCCGAACTACCCAGGAGGCTCCCCGAGGCTGCCTCATTGCATCTGCTGCAGCTGAGCTTTTGGATTCTGGGCATCATGGGCTATGCAGGGCTTAGGGCTTAGGAGCTTCGGGAGTTGAGGGGTTTAGGGTTTAGGGCCGCCCTTATTGGAGCTTTTCCGGTTTATTGGGGCTTCAGGATTGCTTTATTGCTTTTTGGGACCGTAGCTTTAGATTTTGCTTCAAGCTCCTACTCGTAGCTGAGTCTGGGTCTCCCTTGTCTAGACTCCAAGCAGTAATGCACAGTCCCTTATCGGCCATGTTTTTTGCACATGGTTCTCCGCATCACGGAACGGGGCATGAAGTGCACAGAGGTCGGATGTTCGAGTTTCCTGATGCTCAGGATACGAAGCGCATCAGATTCCAGGCCCTTGGCTTCCGCAAGCAAGCTCGGGAGAGAATCGAAGCCTTCTTCAACTCAAGCCGCTCCGAATTCGGGTTTGACATTCTCGTGCGCGGAGTCATCCGCGAGTCGATGTGTAGCTAAGCGGCAAGATCAGCAGAGATGCCTCGCAGAATTCGTCATGAACCCGACACATCAGGCTATCAAAGCTTTAGGGGGTCGTGAATCTTCCTTTATGGAGCCGTGGTGTCTGAGTCAATTTCCGGTTAGACAATCCGTAGTCGTGCCAAAGGGGGGCTGAAAGCAGCCTGCCAATCCAAATCCTAAAGCTCTCGAGCTCGCATGCCCGAAGCTGCGCCCTGCAAACTCTGAGAGTTGCTCCTGTACTCTGTGGTTCCACACGGCTCGTGGTCTCAAGCCAGCTGAGATTCGAAGAGTGCTTGCCGTCGCCACACT